GGCACACACCTTTAATCCCTGTACTGAGAAGGCAGAGGCAGATGAATCTCTGAGTTTGAGGCCAGCCTAGTCAACAGAGCAGGTTCCAGGACAGCCAAGGCTACAGAGAAACCTTGTCTTGAAAAAGACAAACAACAACAACAATAAAACAAAAAAGAAAAAAACCCCAAAGCATTGCACTTGAGATATACTTTATTAACAAAGCATGTTTTGTCATACAAGGGTGTCTGCAATAATTTACAAGAGGAAAAAAAAAATGTGCCATCTGGATTTCTGCAAAACTACTATGAACTTTGGCTTCCCCAGATTCCCACACTGAAGCCTAATCCCCTATTGTGGTAGGTAGAGGTGAGATGGAAAGTAATTAAAACCCTGGGGTAGACTCCTTTTGAATGAGATTAGGGTCCTGGTAAGAGACAGGAATAATCTTTCTCACCTTGGGGCTAAAAGTACCCCAATGATGGTATTTGTGTATATATATGCACAATCATGAGTTATGTGTACACTTGCATGCAGAAGACCAAGGAGGCCAGAAGAAAGCATCACATCCCTTGGAATGGGTGACAGACCATTGGAAAATACTGTGTAGGTGCTAGGAAACTGCATCCTTTGCAAGAGCAGTAAGTACTCTTGATGACTGAGCCATCACCAATCTACAGGGTATTTCTGATACAGCATTCAGGCTTTCTAGACCATACTTTTCAATGTGAAAAAACAATCTATAGTACTAAATTTTAAAAAAATCAACTTTATGTAGGATTCACAAATAGGCTTTGAATCCCCAGAAAATTAGTGCATATTTTATACACAAACACACACATATCTTAAGGATCCTGTACCACTGACTATGGCCACTTTGGTTTTAACTGCCATTTTGCCTAATGACTCTAGCATACACTCTTAAATCATAAAAGAATAAACCAAAGTTTTTAGATGTCAGATGCCAGCCTAGGCTCCAAGGAAAAGAGAGTACTTGCCTAACCAAACAGACCCTGGTTCGCTTTGATCTCCCGCACTATACCATTAAAAGTAAGGAAAAGGAAAAAGGTCAGCCTAGGTTTTTATACTGGTCATTGATAGATACCCAGACTTTCTCTTACCTGACAATATAGTGTTAGTAGTTTAAAAGGAGGCCAAGTATATTCCCTCTGCTAAAGGCCACATTTGTGTAGCTTAACGTCAGCCTTACTCTTTCAGAGATTCAGCTACCAAAGGTTACTATCTTACTGATTATCTATTTTTTCCCCTTTAAATTGTTGGTTTTTGTTGGTTGGTTTGTTTGTTTTTTGAGACAGGGTTTCTCTGTGTAGCCTTGGGTGTCCTGAACTCTCTTTGTAGACCAGGCTGGCCTCGAGCTCACAGAGATCCACCTGCCTCTGCCTCCCTAGTGCTGGGATTAAAGGCATGTACCACCACCACCGGGCTAAATGTTATTTTTAAACTAACTGGGTTGGGAATGTAGTCCAGTTTTTAGTATATACAAGGCCCTACCTAGGTTTGATTCCAAGCATAGAAAATAAATAAGCTAATTAAGTCCACCTATTAGATGTCAGTGACCTTAAAACATTTGTTGGAGCAAGAAAGCTATGGTAGGAGAGAAAGAAATGACTGCTGTAATTTCCACAAGTGCACAGCGGCATGCGTGCGACAGCATAGACACAATTTTTCCCTTACATGTATCCCTTAATCTTTTCCTACATCCTGCCATATACCTTCTAAAAGAATTGTCTAAGAAAGCCAAACATGGTGCTATATACCTATAATCCCAGTTCATAGGAGCTGGAGACAAGATAATCAGCAATTCAATGCCATCTAACCTACATGCTGAGCTTGAGGGCAGAAAGGACTAAACAAGATTCTGTCTCAAAGGGCAGGAGAGGGGGAGAGGTTACTCTCAAAGAATAAAGCCTGCACTGTAAGGGACTTGACCAGATAATTAGTTTGTTTTTTGAAGCAAGGTCTCACTCTATAGCCCAGACTGGCCTCCTACCACTACCTTCAGAGTGATTATAAGCATGTACCACCAAACCTGAACTAGAAGGCATGAAGATGGCATACCTACTCTCATTTAGGGATACAGAACATATCAAGACACAGATAGATATGACAGTGGCTGGTAAGACCCATGTTTGCTTACAGTCAAGGACTGAATGCTTAAAGCCAATATTAATGCAATGGAATGATTTAGGCCTCCTACTGGCAGGCCTCAAAGTTTATTGACCTGACCCTGGAGATTTCCTAAGCCTTAATGTTCAAGAGCCAGATCTAGGTTTATGGACTACTGTTTAACAAAATGGAGGGGTCTAGAGGACATTCAGTGTTTAGAGCTGGGGTAGGGCAAGAGGTACTACTGCAGATACAGGAATGCAAGATCAGAATTATACAATATACAATTTAATTATACAATATACAATTTAAATATACAAAAGAAAGCCAGATAACAAGAAATAAAGAAGTTACAGGCCTGTTTAAATATATACTTTTTTCCCTATGTATTTATAGGAATATATATATAGTAACAATATATATATTGTGTTTTATATATATAGTATAGTATATATATATTATGTATAAAATATATATATATATATAGTAACAATCCCTCCACTACCCTCTGAAACAGCATCTCACTATATAGGTTGGCGTTGAACTCAAAAATCTACCTGCTTCTGCCTCCTAAGTCCTGGGACTAATGGAGTGCACCACTATGCCTGACAAATGGCAAATTATAGAAAGGAGAGCATATTAGTGGTTTTCTGCAGTTAAGCTTATGGGGGAGGAAGGAAAAGTGTGAGTGAAAAGGGGGTTACATGAAGAATCCTTGTGATAAAACTCTTCTACGGAAGTCTTGCCTGTCCCAGAATCAGAATCTTGGTTCTTACAATACTAGTTGCTAACACCAATTTCTGTACTGTAGTTTTATAAGATGCTACCACTGGATGAAACTGGGTAAATTATGCACAGGATCTTGTATTATGTCTGATGCGGCATATGCATCAACAGCTGTCTTAAAAAGCTTAATTCGGGAGATTAAACTGTTCTCAAGGTTGAGTTAGCCAGAAGAGAGAAAGACTTCCTGAATAGACAAACTGAAACCGGGTCAGCAAAACTTGAATGCAAGGTGTGTGTTAGCCTGGGGAATGAGTAGTCGGCCAAAGTCAGTTCAAAAGACATTCTGATTAGGAACCTGGTATAGTGGTTCATCCCTGCAATACCACAAGATTGAGACCAGCCTGATCTACTTAGGCTAAAAGGGCTCCATGGTGAAACCCTGTCTCAACAAATAGATAAAAAGGCTCTGAGGTAACTTCAACCTTTTGTATCCAGAATTAACAGATTGCCAGATTAAATAATTTAAGTTTCCTGAAAAGCAGGTTTGTTTGTTTGTTTTGTTTTGTTTTAATTTAAAAATATCTAAATAGAGGCCAGGTGTTGTGACACATGCCTTTGACTCCAGCACTCAGTGGGCAGGGGTAGGGGCAAATTTCTCTAAAATCAAGGCCAACCAGGGCTTTGTATCAAGATCCTGTCTTAAAAAGGAAACAAAACAAACAAACAAAAAACTTAAGCAGGCGGCAAGGTGATGTACACTCAAGGGCACTTGCTGCCAAGCCTGATGACCTGAGTTCAAGCCCTGGAACTCACTTGTTAGGAAAGAACCAACCCCTGAAAATGTGTATACATTTTCTTTTGTTCCTGATCTCTGGGGGCACTACTGTATAGACAAGAAGTATACCTAAACAAGGCTTATGGATAGAGCTCAGATGTCAGTATGCTTACCTAATATGCAGGAAGCCCTGTGTTCAATCCCCAGAATCCCATAACATGGTGTACAGACTTGTAACCTCAGAACCCAGACAGCAAAGGAAGAGAGGATACATAAGGTTATCCTGTTCATACAGGTAGTTCAAGGTCAGCCTATGGTACATGAGACTGAGTTCCAACAAACAAAAAGCAGCTTCTATTTTTAAACATTTTTTTTTATTTCTTAATTTTAAAAATTATTTTTATATGTAGAGAGTTTTGACTTGATGTATGTCTGTGTACCCACACAAGCCAGAAGAGAGCATCACACAGTCTGGGACTGGAGTTACAGAGGGTTGTGAGCATACTATGTGGGAACTGAACCTGGGTCCTCTAGAAGAGAGCAGTGCTCTTAACCACTGATTAATTTCTTCAGTCACAGGTCTATCCTGTGCTCACACCAGACCTAGACTTTCTGGATTCTGATGGATAATGTTCGTCTCCTAAGTCAATCAATGTACAATGTAGAAATGTGTAAAAATTCACAGTCTACCCTATAAAGATGAAAAAGGGAAAAATTCCCCTTCTGTAGTTCATTATAAATACTGAGTTGAGCTGCAGTGTAAATCAAAAAAACAGTGAGCCAAAATTAACACTGAGTAAATAAATTACCATAAAGCATATGTTATTTTGCACATAGCTCTGTAAAGGGACGTATATGTACAAAAACAAATGCACAATGTATGGACTATAGTAAAGAGTTAAAATATTAATATGCAAAGTATTTTAAAAGCCACAGTATATTCAGTCAGTGGTCTTTCAAGATTTGTAAATTTTCAAGTAAACAAATAGAAACCATAACACATTAAAATTTTTTAGATATACTATTTTTATTCCAAAGAATAAATGCTCAACCTCTCCAAATCACAAAATTTGCAAGAAGCCTCTGATCACCTCATAAACTCTGAGTCAGGCATCTGCACAGCCATGGGACTCAGGAAGCCTGCTGGCTTCTAAAACACTGAGAACGGTGGGTGCAGAAACCCCTATTCTAGTGAGTTATTAACCTAACAGTTTCCCTTCTCGTGCCCCACAGAGCTGCTCAAATTATTGTTTGTTCCTGAGCTCATACCATCTCTTTTGTGATAGTTACTTTTGTTGTTTAAAAAAAAAAATCAAATTGTTACTTTGATTTGTATGACCTCTGAATACAAAAGTATTACTGTTTAAAACAGACTAACTCTACTTGCTTTAAATACTTTCTCAAACTGTTTTTGCATTTATTGTTAATGATCAATAAAGATGAGGGAATAGGAGATGCCAAACTCTGAGATAACAGTATGTTCCATCTGGTTTAGTAAGACTTCAGCCATACAGTGGTTTTGTAGTTACAAACTTTTCTACATCTCTTCCCAGAGTATTAGTAGTAAGTCCAAAGAGTGCAGGACTGTGACACTTGGAACAGAACACATGCACAGAAAGTAAAATCATTTCAGAAAGTCACACTGTCTATAGCCCACACTGCATTTTTAAAAGATGGAAAGTGTTTTCCCAGGCTGGTAAGGAGCTCCTCCTACTCAACACTTCCCAAGCTGGTGACAAATGGCCTTGACTCTCTAAGGTGTGTGCCACTCTCACCTGATTTGGATGTGCACACTCAAGGCTGATGAAGTCCTTCCCAAGCTTTCTGCTTAGAAGCACCAAGACTGTTCCAGTGAAAGAATAATGTGTTATGAAACCCTGACTCCAAAGAATTCCAGTTCCCTTCTGCTTCTCCTCAGACTAGCTTTCAGACTACCTAAATATCACTAGTTCCATTAAGTAAGGAAATAAAACAAAAATCTTTCATCCATAGGATGAAGGTTTCATCTCTGAAACAGGAAGCCGTTGATACCCCACCTTCCTTATAAAATTTTCTAAGGACAAAAAGAAAAATGATGACAAACTGCATTGACCATGTTGTATGTAAACACTGTTGCAAAGGGTTGTCTTGTTTTTTAAATGGCAGACAGCATCTTTGTTGTAAGTCTAAGTTAGGAAACAACTTTACATTCAGAATCTCATTATTTGGCAGCTAACCTGATAAATTTGGGAATGTGACACACGTTAGCCTCTGTCCCTAAATTCACACCCTGAGGCTGAATGGCAATAATTTCAGATGACAACAGACCTTCTAGGTGTCACCTCACACTATGTCCAGTTGCTCACAAGTAAGCAGTGCCAGCTGGAGTGAGAATCTTATGCTTACAGTACTCACTCTTCTCAAACAAAAACCTACAGACCTTATGTTCTTGTGTCATGGCCATCAAAAAAACAAAAATAGTAAACAAACCTCACTATTTTTGTTCATTCTGCCCAAAACATGATGAATCTGAGCCAAATATTGCCACCTACAAGATAATATTTTGCATTTCAGGTCAACAAACAACTAATCAGATGTTTTCATTTTGTTGGAAGAGTTAACTCATAGTTTGTAAAATCTAATACTGTTCTTAGTACATTCCTAAACACCCTGACTAATGCTAACTGAAACAAAGAACCTGTTTCCTCAAAAATGTATTAAACTACTACTTGTCTGCAATATTACTTAGGTTCCTAGAAAAAAAATTCTCTTTCCAAGCTATTTTTATGTTCTTTTACTTGAATTTTATTTACTTTGAATGTGTTGTGCACACATATGGGTCACAATGCACATGTGAAGACCGGAGGACAACTTGCAGAATCTGTTCCGTTTTTCCACTATGTGGGACCCAGGGTTCAAACCCAGATAGACAGGCTTGGCAGCAAGCACCTTTACTCGCTGCCCTGTTTTTGGTTTGAGCAGGACCTCTCTCTGTAGCTCAACCTGACCTGGAACTCATATAGCCTAGGCAGACCTTGAACTTGCAGCAGTCTTCTACCTCAGCTTCCTGAATGCAGAAATTACAAGTATAAAGCCACCACAGCTGGCTACAGGTTACTTTATATTTATATAAAAAGGCCAAAACTCGGTTAAATGTCATAACTGAATGTCAAAGGTGCCTCCTGGAGATGCATGATTTTCACTTTGTTAATTCTCCTGTTGATTAAAGTATTCTACAGACTGAACTGTAGTCAAATCATGAGGTTCAAGTTTCTTTCATTTTCAGTTGATCACAAAGAATTATACAAAAATGAAAAAACAGAGCTGCTCCCAGTCCACAAAGCTTGGCAAACACTGAGACACTGACTTTTCCCTAGTATCATACAATATTTTACTTTAACAAAAAATATTTAGATAAGTTTCAAAGTTCTCTATTATTGTATAGTTATCCACTGAGGATGATCTGTACATTCAGCAAGATTGGACTAAGTATCTAAGCTAAGTAATCTGGAGAAAAAGAAAACAGCAAAGTATCCCTTTTCAATTTGTTTCATACTTTTTTTTTTTTTTTACAGAAAACACAGAATTGAGATAAAACTGTAAATCACTGTAAATCTGATCTTGACATTAGAACCTGCAGTATGTAAAAATTCCAGTTGTATATTGCTAGTCATTTGTCAAATGATAACCAAATGTGTTAAGCGTGTAAAATAATGTTTGGGTGATTGATACTGCCATGGATCCTTTTGTTTGATTTTATATATAAGCTCAGATATTCTAATAAACTAATTTTTTTCATCTAGTTAGTCTTTGGGTTATCACTTCTCGATACATAATAGAGATGTAGATAAGCAACAAAAAGATAACAAAGAAGTCATCTAGAAAGCCCAAAATTCCAAACAAGGCTTCAGGTACAAAATCTAGAGGTGATATTAGATAGAAAAAAGCTCCCATTAAACAAAGCATTATCCGAATGCGGAACATCCAGAAGAGACCCCCAACTGAAAAAACTTCCCTGAACGCATGTCTCAGCAAGGTAGGGAGGTCCATGATTCTTTCTATAATCTGGAGGAAAAACAAGTACAAGTACCACAATTTAACATCTAGGATATCAAATTAATTTTATACAATTTACAGATTCAGCTAAGATGAATTGAGGTGTATTACACACTTAATATCACACTTTCCAACTATGCATTTTTATTTAAAAATAATTTACTTACTAGATTTTTATAAAACAGGTCTTTATAAAGCAGGTCTTATGGACAACTGAAAACATGCTTAAAATGTGAAACATAGATGAAAACATTATCTCAAAGTCTGATACTTGAAATACTACAGAATTTTGAAGTGTTCTAAAACACGAAAGATTCTAAAGTCTAAAGCTTTTTAGCCAAAAAGTTTTGGATTTCAGAACATGTCAAATTTATGATTTCCAAATTTGGGAGGCTCTACTTGTAAAATCGATGCAAATTCTTTGAAATCTGGAAACTCTGGTCTCAAGCATTTCAGCTAACGTCATGCAAAACTCAAGTTATCAATAATCTGATTTAACAAAATAAGCCAAGAAACTATAGGCCAGAAATGTTGACTTACACCTGTAATTCCCAGGATCAGAAGGATGAAAGGCAGGAGGATCAACAATAGCTCAAGGCCAGCCTAGGCTACAGAATGAGACCCTGTCTCAAAAGAAAAATATTAATATAAATATATGCATGCTTACAGTCTGAGAATTGTTCCCAAATCTCAGATTTACTATCACGATATATCTGGGTTGAACTCAAAAGTAACCAATTATCAGATGAAGTGACCTTGTGGAACATGGTACCTTGGGGTACAATTTCCTAACAAGCTAGAGATAATTTAACAACTGAGTATTTAATTACTCAGAATTACTAAGAAAAAAAGATATACTGGACAGAAAAGGCCTATGTAATAATAATAAAAAAATAATAAAAGGTCAGACTACGTGAAAGTTTTATAACAACGGGGATTGAACCTAGGGCACTGGTAGGCAAGTGTTCTAGTCTGAGCTATATCCCTAGATCTCCTTTAATTTTTTATTCAGAGAACATCTCATCAAGTTGCTAACACTGGCCTTGGATTTGTGATCCTTCTGCCCCAGCTTCCCAACTACCTGGGATTACATGTCTGCTCCACCAGGCTTGGTTATTATACATTAAAAACATACTAACATGTGTGCACACATATGCAGATCAGAGGGTTACCACATTCTATAGCTGTCCCTAGAGGATTAAATAAATAAATACCCTGGGGTTGGCGAGATGGCTCTGAGATTAGGAGCACTTGCTATCAAGCACTTGCTACAGGACCTAGGTTCAGATTCCAACACCCACATTAGGTGGCTCACAATCGACACTCCAGTTCTAGAGGTTCTGATACCCTCTTCAAGTTTCCATGGACACCTACAGCATGTGGTGCACAAACAACATCAAGCACACGTACATATAAATAAAAACAGCCTTTAACATTTGTTTTTCTTTTTAGTGGTAGGTCAAAAACAGCAAAGGTGGCACATGCCTTTAATCCCAGTACTTGGGAGGCAGTGTCTAGTAGACTTCTGTGATTTCAAGGCTAGCCTAGTCTATATATCAAGTTCCAAACAAGCCAGGGCTAAATATTGAGACCCTGTCTCAAAAATAAAAAATTCTGGCCACAGGGAAAGCTAGTGATTGACAATGAAGACAGTTTAAACTTGGTCCAGAACACATAATAAGACTTAACATAGTCCAAGAGCTAGCTGATAAATCTTAGTTTACAGAAAGAAGTATAAAGGCTCTCTCTGACTTTGCTATAACATTACTTACAGATCTAGGCTGCCCTGAGAATCTCCGGTTATAATCATTAACATCTTGACGCAATCTTATAACATCCTGAGACTGATCATCTTCACCAAATACTGTTAGTAGTAGAGTTACCTGTGTATTACAGGAAAAAGCTGTTACACCTTCTGCACCATTATTACTATTTTTTCATTTTGTGTTGTTCAAGAGAATGAGAAAAGCTTCTGAATGTGTATTCATTCACTCCTTTGAATAAAGGCAACATGGGGGGACAAGTAAGTAATTACTGCCTTACAGTAAAATGTAATATAAAATGTAATTTATAATTCCTCCAAGATAAAATTGGTTCCATATCTAAACACTTAACTCTTAATATTTTCCTGTCCATATCAGGGGCTAAATCCCATAGTTCTCTAGAAAAACATATAGAGATAAAAGGATGATAGGAAAACCTTCAGTAACAAAGTGACATTAAAAATATAAACCTAGCAGGGCACACTGGTTCACAATGGTAATTCTGGCACTTGGGGAGGTAGAGGCAGGCAGATCTCTGTGAGTTTGAGGCCAGCGTGGTCTACAGAGAGATTCTAGGACAGCTATTATTTTTCAGAGAAAAATTAAGCATTTCTGAATGACTAATTTTTACTCACATTTGATATATCTTTGAATGCTATCATAATACAAAAATTACAATAGTATATGGCCTGACTCTCTGAAACACCAATCTCTTTTGTAATAAGCAGATAGAAGTCTTGGTACTGTCACAGAACAAAGATTAATTAGTCTTGTTACTTATATGACTATGGTACAAATGGCACACAGTTGCCTCAGGTCAATACAGGGGGTTTGAAAAATATGTGTAGCTCAGAACAACCTATAAAAAATAATCACTGTTAAATATAATGAGATAAAATGGAAGGGACTAAAAACAGGTTTAGTGGGCTGGAGAGATGGCTTAGTGGGTAAGAACACTGGCTGCTTTTCCAAAGGTTCTAAGTTCAATTCCCAGCAAGTACAGAGTGGCTCATAACTTTCTATAATGGGATCTAGTGCCTCCTTCTGACTTATAGATGTACATGCAGACATAGTACATAAATAAATCTTAAAACAGGTTTAGTTTTGAATCATTCTACATGTTTTTATTCTTCCTCAAGTCAAGAAAACCACTAATCAGATATTTTCCAAGCAGTTAAATGAAGAAGTAACTAAATGAACAGCAGACACAGTCAGTCATCCACTCCTTCACAGAGCTGTTAATAAAAATGTCTCTAAAAATAAAGTAATAATTTTAAGTCTCCAGCAAGATTAGCCCTTAAATGTCAGGACAGTCAAATCAAATCTTAAGAGATTTAATCATGATCCATGGCCTTTTCCTTCTTGTAACTGCTCTTTTCTAAAAGCTAATGTAAGTTTTAAGAGCTTGAATTTTTTTTTTAATGCAGTCTTGCAAATAATGGTGGTGCACACCTTTATCTCAGCACTTGTGAGACATAGGCTGCCAGATCTCTGTGAGTTCAAGGCCTGGTTCACACAGTAAGTTTCAGGGCAGCATAGTGAGACCTTGTCTACAAACAAACAAATGAATGAATGTAATCCTGCAGTAAATACTGAGCATCTACTGTGAGGCAGGCAGTGCTGGTGGTATGCACACAGAAAGAAAGATGACACAGCTTCTCCACAAATGGCTTAAGATCTACAAGAGAAACAGGGAGGCCAGCTTGTTACACAGCATGTTATATGGCACTGCAGGTGGTATCAAAAATGAACTTTTCCCTGGGATGCCTCCCAAGCCTGAAGAATAAGGAATAGTCTTGAAATCTTGCTGTGAGAGCTTGGAAAGCTAACGTACAGAGGGGAGTGACAAGTGAGCTCTAGTCAGAGACAGCATCCTGTGTGTGGAGATACAGCAGCACTTTCTACTGTCTTGCTTCCAGGTTGAATGACTACAATTATGTGCGCAATGGCTATCCCACTAAGATACCTTCATAACCTTACTAATCCCTAGTCAGTTTTCCGTACAACAAACACACACTTTAGGAAAGTCATGGGTAAAGTTAAAAAGGGGGGCTGAGTAGTATGTGGTGGTCTGAATAGGAATGGCCCCCATAGGCTCATGTTTGAATACTTGGTTATTAGGGAGTAGTACTACTTGACAGGGATTAGGAGGTGTGCCCTTGATGGAAGAAGTATGTCACTGGGGATTGGGCTTTGGGGTTTCAAATGTTCAAGCCAGGTCCAGTGTATCTCTCTTCTGCTGCCTGCAGATCAAGATGTAGAACTCAGGTCCTTTTCCAGCACCATGTCTGCCTGCTTGACCTCTGCTATGATGATAATGGACTAAACCTCTGAAACTGTAAGCAAGGCCCAATTAAAATTTCCTTTATAAGTGTTGCCATGGTCATGGTGTCTATTCACAGCAGCAGAACACTGGCTAAGACATGGTGAAACTCATTTTACAGTTTAAGATACACTACACGGCCTCTATGTTTCTGGCTAAAGGTAAGAACTACTGGCAATTTGCTTATGGCAAATTGACTGCCTACGTCACAGATCAAATTAGCCATAGAAACAATGTGAGGGGGAAAAACCAACTTTTCTTCTAACCATGTGAGAAAAAATAAAGAATGAATGAAGTAGAGTTGGGGACTACAGATATAAAAAGGAAACAAGAAAATCTGGCTTTCCTGCTCTAACAGTAATGGGGAAATGATAGCTAGAACAAAGGATATACATACTGTAAGAATACCTGTGAGGTTTCATTATTAAAGTTCAAAGTAAATGGAGCAATTTAAATATTTTAAAAAGGGAGAACAGTATGCAGGGGATGCTATCTGCCAAGTGTTTATTTTGTTAATTTATTCCTTTGCTGGTCATACAACAAAGACTTAGGAATTAGGACAAGCTCAGTTATCACTTGATTTTCACTACAACTGTAGGATTTCAAATAGAATTCCTTTTTTATGATACCTTAATGACTTTTTAAAATGTATTTTTAAAAAAATTACTGAAGTCACAGACAAAGTAGATAAAAATGAAGTTTGGCTGAAAAAAAAACCTCAATTTAAATTTAAAGCTGCTAATACTGGGCAAGTGAGATGGCTCAGTGGTTAAGAATGCTTACTGCTCTTGCAGATGACCAGGGTTCAGTTCTCAGCACCAATATGGTAGCTCATAGTCATTCATAACTTCAGTTTGAGGGATCCAATGCCTTCTTCTGACCTCTATGGAGTTCTGCACACACAGGCTGCACATACATACACTCAGGTATATACACACAAAATAAAATATTTTTAAACAAAAATCCTAATATTTGTGAAATGAGATAAGTGATTTATATGCACACACACACACATATATATATATATATATATATATATATACACATAGAGAGAGAGAGAGAGAGAGAACATTACCGTTTGTCTACAGATAGGACAACTGATTGCACCAAGCCAGGACCCATATCGCCAGTATGCAATTATGCAGGAACCTAGTGGAGTATGAAAACATCAACAATGAAGCTTTAAAGTCCTTATATGATGGTCAAGTTTCAACTGTCTGATACCATTATCTTCCTTAAAACATTGTTTTATTATACTGTTTATCTACATCGTTTATTAAATATTCCTTGAAAAAAATGTTACTTCATTCAGCTAAATCTTCAGGTAAATTAAAATCTGACAATATTTGCAAACATATAAAAAAGCAATTAGTTCAGCTACTAATTAAGCAGTGGACATTTTTATATAATAAAAAGCAAATATTAATCACCTCAGTGACTGAGGCCTCATAGAAATAGTTCCCTATGTAAAATAAAGATGATGTTAAATATGACAAACTGTCAGATAATTTTTGGTCCAAATTTGATGTATTTAAAGAATCCTTTTTTTTTTTTTGAGTTCATGAACCAGCAAGGTGTAGACACATGCCTACACTCCTAGCACTTGGGAAGCACATACACCTGGAGTTCAAGTTAGTGGGCACCTTGGGCTACCTAGTGAGACCCTGTCTCAACAACAACAAAGGATTAGAAAGGATTAAAGGAGGAGTGGTGGCTATAATCCTTTCACTTGGGAGGCTGATGAGAGCCAGGAGTTTAAGATCAACTTTAACTACACAGCAGGTTCAAGACCACCCTAGGCCACATGAGATCTTTCCGGCCTGCCACTCCAAAAACTGAACACCAAATTACTGAAGTATTGGGTTTCCTTGATAAAATGTATATCCTAGCTTAATATCTGAAGTTCTTGTTGTAGGTGATGTTCATGAGGATGGGGACGAGGCTCAATTAATAAAGTCTTAGCTGTACAAACATGAGGACCTCAGGAAGTTCCCAAGAACCAATGGAAGATATTTGGACATGGTGGCACACACATATGATCCCAGCACTGGGGAGGCAAAGAAAGGTGGGTCCCGGGGGCTCACTGGCCAATCAGCCTAGCCAACCTGGCAAGCTCCATGATAGTAAGTGGATGCTCCCCTCCTCATAAAAGAGAAAAGGCTAGGCCTGGGGAGTTGGCTGAGTATGTAATGTCAGAGCAAGGATTAGGACCCCAGCACGAATGTTCTTTTTTTTTTTTTTTTTTTTTTTTTAAGACAGGGTTTCTCTGTGTGTAGACCATGTTAGGCTCAAGCTTGCAGAGATCTGCCTCCCAAGTGCTAGGACTAAAGGTGTGTAACACCACGCCCAGCTCCATGTTCATTTGTTATTGAGGCTGTTTAAATCACTTTGTGCCTGTGATTCCAAAGCAAAAAAGATGGCAATATGAAGATCCCTGGGCCACGAGGGCCAGAATGGCCAAACGAGCAGGCTCCAGGTTGAGGGAGAGTCTGCATCTCAACAGTAGGTAACTGAGGACACCACCACATGCATCCCACCACCCCCCACACAAAAGAAAAAAGGAAAGGTAGACGGTATCCTGAGGAAACACCTGAGGGTGACATGCGCTTCCCCAAACACTCAAATGAACACACACACAAAGACATTCATGAACAACAAAATAACCAAAGATGGCAACCCTGCCTGAAGGAAGAAATTTTATTTTATTGAATTTATACTCAGTAGATAAACACGTCGCTTCAATGCAGTAACATGAAGGGATTTTAGGGCTCCACATACTCGAGGCAAGTGCTCTACTAACTGGTCTGCGCCCAGCGCAGTGCTCTAGGCCAGAACTTAGAAGCACTAGCAGTCCAATTGTGGAAGCCAAAGTGACTCACTCAAACCAGTCAGAAGATGCCAGCTCTTAAACTGTGCAATGTTGGATGAAGAGGAGTCAATGTCAGCACTAGGTTGGCAGAGGCAGGAGCATCTCTGTGGGTTTAGGCCAGCCTGATCTACAGAGTGAGTTTCAGGACAGCACTACATTAACTGAGAGACCCTGTCTCAAAAAACAAACAAACAAACAAACACCAATACAAACTCAACTTCTGACCTCACATACATGCACACGTGTGCCCACACAGATACATGAACCTGTACACATACAAGTATGTGTACATGTGCATATACACATGCATACGTACACAAAAAGAAAGAAATTAATCTGTTAGTGCTATTATTTTCATCTGATAACATGTCTTTGCTTTATCTGTGAGGTTTTCACCCAAAAATTCAGCCTACTCTGACAGATAACTACACTCATTAATCTGAAGTACCTTTTCCTCAAACTAGGGTGTGGGTGTCCTTATTTTGAAAATTATGTAACTCCATTTGTCTTCACTGAAAAACTATGACTCAGCAGATTAAATGCTGCAGTTCATCTGCTATTAGATGCTTGATACTTTCTTATTCAATTTTCTCCCTCCACAGGAAAAAAAAAAAAAAAGATACTAAAGTATCATCTGCTGCCAGAGATGACTGAACTTTCATCTGGGTCACAATCTCTCTGAATCTATTTAACTGAAAAATGAGAACAAAATCTCACAGGCGTGACAGTGTTAAATAATGTAAATTATAGATGTAAATAAGGTGATTCTGTTGATATTATTCTGTTTACCGTAATGGAGAAGAGGTAACAACATGAAAGAATTACTGAAATAAAAGCTCTTGATATATGTGGTATTAGATCTACTGTCCAGAGAACATTTTTTGAGAAATTGCAAAGCAAGTTTTTTACTTTTGATTTTAATAAATAAAAAAATGTATGTGATATGGCTTAGTTGGTAGAGGGGTAGCTTAGCATGCACAAGGCCTTGGGTTATCAATCCTCCTCGGCTCACAAACTAGGCATAGTGCATGCCTGAAATCTCAGCACCTGGAAGATAATGTGGATCAGAAGTTCAAGGTCATCCTGGGCTACATAGCACATTTGAGGCCAATTTAGGATACATGAGCCCCACCTCAAAAGAAAAACGTACCTAACAAGTAGAGCAGGATATCAGCAGCAATCTACCCTATTACCTCAGACCCAAAGGTAAAAGCAAGAACACAATACAACCATCTTTCAATTGACAGGATTATCCACTCAGTGAATTAGCAAAGCCTGAGTTGGCAAATAAGTTCATTTTGCCTGCCAAGCCTCACAAACTGCCAACACCTGCCTAGAGGATGATTAAGGTTATGTCTAGATTCGGGAGCAAGGAAGGTCAGATGTATTGGGAATACCTGCCACAGGTTTGAGAGCAGGAAGATTTCTGTTTCTCTGAAGGCCATTAACTTCCTTCCCCCATCTGATCTTGTATTATTCTGCTATTCCTCAGCATTTCCAAAACCCAATAAAAAGACTGAAACTGGCTGGGCAGATGCCTCGGTGAACAAAGCATTTGCTGTGCAATCTTGAGGACCGATCCCTAGAAACCACGTAAGGGTGGATGCAGTAGCACATATCTATATCTCAGTGCTTTAAAGAAGGGAGGCAGAGACAGGAGCTTGTAGGCTAGGTAGCTTGGCATATACAGGAGTAAATGAGAAACCCTATCTCCAGGCAGGAGGCAAGGCATCACACCAGATTCATCCTTTAACATCTATGCACATACCATGACACCTGACCACCAAAACAACAAATAAAAAAGAGAAAAGCTGAAAGATCATTAGTAGAGCTCAGGGAAGGGCTGGAAAAAGTTCTGGAGAGAAGAACTGTCCTCCCTTGGAAAAGGTAGATAATAAATATCAACAGATAAGTCAGTGTTCTCTCTTATGTTAAATATGTGGACAAAACAAAAACAAAACCTTACTGAAGTTGCATGCATGGTTAGCATGTGTTCTAGGTTTCTCATTCTGTTTCCAACTCCTTAAGGTCACAAGAAAGACTAAAGACAGGCTGTAGGGTTTTGTGACTTAGTTCTGGAGACAATAATCTTGCCATTCAAAGTTTGCATAACAAAACTGACAAAATTTGAAGAAGGACTCAGTGGACCCATAATGTTACCTGTAAACTTGGACTACTCTTGCAAGAAACACATTGCTAATGATCTAGAAGCTTATTGAGTTTTCTTTTTTAAAGCTTGGAACCCACAAACACTAACACACTAAATAGAAAATAAATTATGATTTAGTACCTGTTTGTGTGTGCATTCACAACCACACATACACAGGAACATACTTTTTGGGTGGGAGACTAGGTCTCATGTAACCCAAACTGGTCTTGAACTTGTTCTCTATCTGAGGATGACTTTGAACTCTTGATCCTCCTCCTTCCACTAACTACTAGGATTCAGGCATACACCATCATGCCTGACTTACACGATCCTGGGGATCAAGCCCGAGGCTTGTGCATGGTAGGCAGACACTTTACCAACTGAGATACATCCTCAGACCTTACTATATTTAGCATCTGAATAATATACTATTATGTGGATGGCAACTAGGGCAGGACATCAGAAGCAACCTACTTCTCTCAGAAAATAGAGGTGATAAAAAGAAAATTAGCAATCCTGCCCAATAGCCATTCACACAGGTCTTGCTTGAGTTAGTCACTTTAACCAAGTATGATACTGTTTGCTTACCACAGAAGAGATGTCCACAGTTTGTTTCAACGGGAAAGGAGGCTTGATGTAAGCAGATTGGACAGTACATTTCAGTGTAGAACTGCTGTCGAGCAGGAGCAGGGGCATCCTGGTGAAAGGACACAGACACATCTCTCAAAACAGAAATCACACATATACAATAGTTTAACAAGTGTTTTATTTAAACTACATGGCCTCTACCTTTCTTCTTAAATACAATTTGACAAGTATGTCTCTATGAATTTGAGGCCATCTCGGTCTACATATCAAGTTCCAAGCCAGCCAGAACTTTGTGATTATGTCTCAAACAAAAACAACAAGAGTAAAAGAGAGAAAAGAAAAAAAAAGTTTCTACTTCATTTCAGTTAAGGTCAAGTGCATAATTATTTTTATATAAACAACAAACATAAAAATTGTTCTCTTTTAGAGTAATTTAATAAAAACCACACATATATCTGTACAGATTAAGACTGGTCATTGCTGCTGGGTTTGGTAGTCTTGCCAGTAGTTCCAGCACTTGGGAGGTATGATGGTTTGAATGAGAATAACCCCCATGGACTCTTCCAAATAAATTTGAATGCTAGGCCTCTAGCTGGTGGAACTGTTTGGGGAAAGATTAGGAGACTTGGCCTTGTTGTCACTGAGGGTTTGAGGTTCCAAAAGCCCAACCCAGTCCCAATCGCTCTCACTCTGCCTCTAATATATGGATAAGATGTAAGCTCTCAACTCTTGCTCCAGAGCCTGCCTGCTGCTGCTCCCCACCATGATGATAATGAACTAATACTCTGAAACAATAAGTAAGCCCCCAATTAAATGCTTTCTTTTATAAGTTGCCTTGGTCTCTTCACAGCAATAGAAAAGTAGCTAAGAAAGAGGTAAAGACAGCAAGATCAGGAGTTCAAGATCCTCAGCCACCAGCAAGTCCCAGGCCAGACTGGAATACATCAGACTGCCTTAGTGTCCTTCTAACTCCCACAAAAGAAGAAAATGTGCTTAATCTGAAGAACAAGATAATGTAATGTAAGGAGTAAAGAAGCTGATGTTTCTTATTTTCTAATGTCTTCTCACCACTGCATATAAATGGAAATTATAACATCCCCTTATATAAATATACACACTACATAACCATACCTGTTCTGTTTGAAGTTGTTCTCGAAGCACCCTGACTAGCTCTTGGTTTTCTGGATGAATGTTCTGCTGTACATTTCTATTGAAAAGAATGGAATAAAATTTGCAACAATCATCAGATAAACCCAACTGCTTTATTAGTCTAATTTTTGACATGAACTCCAGATAACCACAGGTTGATGAGATGGCTCTGTGGATGCAGGCACTTGCTGTGCAAGCCTAATGACCTGACTGAGATCCCCAGAACCCATGTCAAGGCAAATGCAGAGAACTAACTCTGCCAAGTTGTCCTCTGACTTCCACGTGCATATCATGGCAGGTATCCCCCAGCCCCATTAATAATTTAAATTTTTTAAATTCATTTGTTTTGTACGTGGTGTACACATGTGTATGGTGGGTGTTCTATGGCACATGTGTGGAGATCAGAGCATAACTTATAGGAGTCGCTTCTCACCATGTGGATTCTGGGACTGAACTTAAGCCATCAGGTATGGCAAATGTGTTCACCCACTGACCCATCCCATCATCCTGGCTCAATAAATAGCTTTGCTTTTTTTTTTTTTTTTTTTTTTTTTTTCAGTTTTAGGAAAAGAACTACATAGGATCTGGAGAGATGGTTCAGTGGTTAAGAGCACTGACTGTTCTTCCAGGGGTCCTGAGTTCAGTTCCCAGCAACTACATGATGGCTCATAACTATCTATAATGAGATCTGATGCCCTCTTCTGGCATTCAGGCATACATGCAGATGGAACACTCATATATACATATAAGTATATGTATATATATATAAATTAAATACTTAAGTTGATTTTTTTTAATTTAAAGAAAGAAAAAGTACTGGTGACTCAATGTAACTTAAGCATAACTTAAGCATAATTTCAAGGATCGTGCATTCTAGACTACTCTGTGACAGCTTCCTCCCAAATCTGTGATTATCAGTTGACTTCAGGTTTAAATGGCAAATGATAAAATCCAGATGCTGGTATCTCAGGAATTTATTGCAAGCAAGTAAGTAATATATAGAACACTTAACACACTTCTTTCATATAGTTTCTCTAGGTTACACAGTTAGATAGCTCTACATATTATATATCTGAACATTTTTCCACATCTAATTAGGTATTTCTCCTAATTTTTCATGTTTAAGGAAAAGGGAAGGCATCAGAAGTTTAAAATTATGTATGTAAAAACACCAAGACAACTGATCATACTGGCTCTTGTCAACCTGACAGAGCGTAGATATATCCAAGAGAGAATCGTAACTGAGAAAATGTCTCTATAAGACTGGCCAGTAGAAAAGTCTATGACATTATTTTTTTCAAATTAGTAGTTGATGTTCAATTCACTGGGGGTCAAGCCACCCTGGGCAGGTAGTCCTGGATGGTAAAGAAAGATAGCTAAGCAAGCCATGCGGAGCAAGCCAGTAAGCAGTACTGCTCCATGGCCTCTGCCTCAGTTCCTGCCCCGAGTTCCTCTCCTGATGGAGTACAACCTGAGGGCTGCAATTAGAAAGAGACCCTTTCCCCCTAAGTTGCTTTTGATCATGGCCTTTATCATAGTAACAGAAAGCAAACTAAGACAAGAACATACCACTTAAAAAGTGCAATGGAAAAATCAGAAGCAAGAAGTTGGCAGCTTTTCTGGAGGGCTGGAGAGGTAGTTCAGTTGGTAGAATACTTGCCTACCATACACAAAGTTCTGGTTTGCTCTCCAGGGTTTTATAAAACTGAGTGTAATCTTGTATCCTGTATAAAAGAATGGCATTAGGCCAAGAGAGCAGTACTGAGGTTGGTTTTTTTTTTGTTTTTTTTTTTTGGCTTTTTGTTTATTTGTTTGTTTTTTCCTCTCACTTTTTCTACTTAACTATTTTGCATTATTATCCATACCACCAACTAGCTGATAGATTCAATTACAAAATTTTTTAAACTAGATACTTTCAAAGGAAATATTAATATTTTAGTCAAAGTGGAAACTATGAATTTAAATATTCCAAGTTAAGTCAGGAAAAAATATAGTAGCAGTCAAAGCTCAATGGAAGATAAAATTTTAGTACATATACACAGTCACTGAGACCAGCTATTACTAGGAAGAATCAAAGAGTCATTGACCTTTAGAAATACACAGTACCTCAAATAATTTCCCTTTAGTCTCACCTGAAGAGTGCATAAAGGAGAGTAGCAATCAAAGCAAAACTGACCACCACTGCCACAAGTACTTGATCACTCACTCCTTCTATAACTGAATCATCCTGTTGCAAACTTTGAACTTCACTGTAGTATCTGGCCATTACAGGTCTACAACATGAAGAAGTGAAAATGAAAAATATCAATAAAAGCAATGTTAACTCTGGCTTACTGCTAACATATATCATACTTACAGCATGCTCTTTAGAGTAGGTACCATGAAGTACAACTCCACCTAAGGTTCCCCTACTAATGAGGTTCTTTTGTTGTTTTGTTTTTTAATTTGCCAGAATCATTATTTGTGGGAGACAAAATACTATTTTCTTTAAGGAAAACAACTACTCTATGACCCATATACATATTTTTAAAATAAAATTTTTATAATACTTTTTCTGGAGGGCTGGAGAGGTAGTTCAGTTGGTAGAATACTGAGTTTGCTCTCCAGGATTTTATAAAACTGAGTGTAATCTTGTATCCTGTATGGAGGCCAAGGCAGGAGGATCATTCAGGTTCAAAGCCAGTTTGGATTACATGAGTTCCAAGTGATCAAAACAAAACCTTCCTTTTGTTTAGGCTTAGCACCTTTAAGGAAAAAGATGTTCTCCTACCCAGTTGCTATTTTCTAACACAATATCAAGTTGTCTCCAGGTAGCTCTCACCCCTCTGTCTTAGCATGTAGAGAGAAAACATAGTCTGCTAACGTACTATGATATTGCCCAGCACATGCTCTGTTCACAGATCAAGTGACTTAACCAACTTACAGTACTGGTAATTTGAAAAGCAGAATTCATCTAGGCAACAGGACATTTCTCTTTCTACTAAAACCATTTGAAATAATGAAAATTTTCAAGTTTGAAAACTATTAGCCAAACCTGAATGAAGTTCAGCTTACAGTTCAAAATTCCTTAACTATGTGGAATAAAGGAATCCACTTTATTGAGACAGTATACACAGTAAAAAAGACATCAAACTCCTTCCCAAATTCTAAAGAAAAATGATAGCTATGCTACAAGTACAGTATAGCCATACAATATATAGATACAATACTAAAGTATGGGGGAAGACAATCCAACTACATTGTGGGTCAATCACAGGTAATTCTCCCCAACCCCTAGTGAAAAAACTGTAAAGCTCAAAGGCTCATATCATCACTAAAGGGAAATGATGGGAATAGTCAATTAAATATATAATAAATAAAGTTCTGCATTTATGTACATTATTGCACAGAAAGCTTTTATCCAGGGCTGAGGATCTATCACAGTTGACAGAGTCCTTGCCCAACATTCATAAATTGGGTTTCAATCCCTACCACAAAATAACCTGGCCCACATCTGGAATCCCAGAACTTGGAAGGTAGAGATGGGAAGATCAAGTTCAAGGTTATACCTGGCAATATAACAAGACAGAACTGATACTAGCTTAGGACACATAAGCCCCTGTCTCAAAAAGTTTTATCCAAAATTATCAATTTGATGAATCTCTCTTAAGAAGAAAATACTCAGTGTGAAAAAAACAATACCCTTGAAATAGATCTGATTTAGTTGCTAGTAAACTACTTCTTGTGGAAGAAACCTAAGAAAGAAATGTTTCAAGGGAAGGTTTCATCAACTTTACATAGAGTGCCAGCCTGATATACCAGGAACTTTTTAAGGACAGGTTTCAAATTCCCATTGTGAAACTACATACAAGGATACAAGGAGAGGGAAGGAGGGAGGGAAAGAGAGGGAACTAGAGAGGGAGGGTGGGAGGGGGAGGAAGGGGAGAAAGAAGGGGAGAAAGTGGAGAGAGAGAGAGCCTACACTCTACTTTTATTTCCATTTAAAAACAGCCAAATGAACTGCCAGCTGAAGCTAAGGGAAGAGGGCATTTTAGATAATCTAATGACAGGCCAGAAGTCAGTTAAGACCTTTTCTTTATTCGGTACTCTCTTTTTAAATTAGAAATGCTATGGCTGTGATCAAAGTCCTAAGGCCAGAGCTGAGAATGTAGCTTAGTACAGAGTACTTGCTTAGCATGCATAATGCTCTGGGTTCCATTACCAGCACCACGTAGACATACTGGGAAGGTAGAGACAGGAGGTTCAGAAGTTGGTTACATCGGAAGTTGGAGGTCAGCCTAGGCTACATGAGACCCGTCTCAAAAAATTAGGCCAGGTATGGTAGTTCATGCCTTTAATTTCAGCACTCAGGATGTAGAAGCATGCAAATTTTTGTGATTTGAGGGCCAGCTGGTTCTAACGTAAGTTCCAGGACAGCCATGGTTATGTAAAGAAACTCTGTCTTAAAAAAAAAAATCAGCGAAAGCAGTATTTTGTAAGCCAAGTGCATCAGCTAAAGCATTATAGTTACTATCATTACTCATTTCTCCAATGCCTTACACAGTCCATTTTGAGAAAACGGGATAACTGAAGCCATTGGGTGGACCCCTTACACAGCCCCATGAGTCAGGTAGCAGCCACCCAGCACAGACTAATAAATGCCTTATTCCTGGAAGTAGACAGGGAGCACCTTATTAGTTTACTGAACTAAATTTAAAAGTGTAAGTCCAAGGACATTGAAGTCATATCCAGGAAACCATGGACAAGAACTTACCCAACATGCCAGACCAAGGAAGGTCTAACTCTCACCTGGACCCAATAAAGTAACAGACACCTACCACTGGGATGCTCTAGCCCTACTACCACCTATGGCCGACACCTGGTGTGTGCACCAAAGAGCAGCAAGCAAAGGACTCCCCAGCTGTCCCTGGAGTTTCAGCTTGGCTTGTAATCCTATTATCAACACAGCCTACTCAACTACCCAGCCTGTTCCCCCTGAGCCTACGCAGGAGCCTACCATTTCCTGAGCACTGTTTGGCTTTTTGCCTTGAAACTGGACTCTAGCTTCACTCTCAAACCCTGACATGTTCCCCTGTTTTTGACATGTGTACTCACAACCAAATCCAAAATTTGTCATATGGAATGGCACCATCTTCCCCTGAACTCAGGACTGTTGTGGCTGAGAACTAACCAGTGTAAGGCCTACAAAGACAGCTCAGGAAAGTCCTCCCCCCTTCGGTCTCACCTCCCTTGGGTGTTTTTCTAACACTGTCAGGGAAAGGGGTAGGGGTGACAGGCCCACAGAGAGAAAAGCGGAAAAAGTAAGAATTACTAGAATTTACCTTAAACAAAGGAAAAGTGACCCCGGCCCCTAGGTTCAAGTAGCAACTTGATGGTCATATGTGGCTTTTGTAATTACTTTCAAGGAATTCTTAATATAATTTCTATCCTGAAAGGTAGTTAGAAGCACGAAACAAATCAGTAATGCTACTTCTGGCATAAAAGCACCTTGGACTTGCAGACTCGATATACTGTATCAAAGCCTTGAGTCTGAGCAGCTGGAGTTAAAGGTGGTTACAATACAGATAGGAGTCTCTCCAGCAAAGCTAACACCTGCGGTCTCCATGACAAATACAAAGCCCAGATCAAGGGAACATATACTCACTATTTGCTTACCTAACAAGATTTAGTCACTGAAAGATGACACAAGTTCTACAGAAACATTTTAGTATGGAATGTGGGAACTCTAGTCTGACAAAGATCCACAGGCACCCACACAGAAGCCATAAGCAGAGGAGATTCAAAGTCAGGCTTTCTAAAGGTATTTCAGCTCCTCTAAGAAAAATGTTTGCAAGAAAAGCCTCTGGGAAGGCATGAGCTAAGATTTATTGTTTATTTACTTTTGGTACCAAGGATTAAACTCAGGCCTTGATGTCTGCTCGGTAATGAATCTAGCACTACATCCTCAGCCCAAGATTGTTTGCATCTATAGAATGATCGAGTATATGTAATCACTAAACAGTAGTCGATAAAATTGTCAATAAACGCAGCAGGCCGTGGTGGCGAACTAAGGAGGCAGAAAAGGCGGAGTTTAAAGCCAACCTGGTCTTCAGAGTGAGTTCCAGAACAGCCAGGGCTACACAGAGAAACCCCTGACATGAAAAGCCAAAAACCAACTAAAACCAAACCAATGCTTTTTGGCAATTCTAAGCGGTCAGCTTCTGGCGGGAAAGGGAAGGGCTCCGGGAACTGCAAAACAGAGTGACTTCCTGGGAAGTTAACCTCCGAAGCTCTCCAAATCAAAACTGGCATACCTTTTGACTCCGCAATTCTCCCAGGACTCCAAAGCATGTATCTCGTATCTTGGAACCGCCAATGCCTCTGCATTAAGGTCCAGGTAGAAGAATGTTTATTATAGCATTGTTCTGAGACGCCCTAAACTGGAACAAAGTGCACATCAACAGTAGAGTGGGCACAAGGTTGTATTCATACAATGGAAGACTAGACAATCATGGGACTTTGCAGGTAATTTAATATTATTTAAAAGCCGAAACCACAATATGGATCCATTCATAAAAGTTCAAAACTGTACTACATGCACACTCACCTGGCAAAGCTAAAACAGAAAGCAATACAGTGTCTGTCACAAATATCAGGCTAGAAATGATAAGGACAGAAGAACTGGGGAATCTGGCAATTCATTTTATTAATATTCCTCAAACATGTACGTCCCACGCACTGTTTTGCACACCACTTAAAAACGAATACGAAACCCTACAATGTCTGTAAGAAAAAAAAAACAAAAAACAAAAAACCCCACGAAACTTGGACAAGGATGCACCTCAGTGGAGCCAATTCCAAACCCAAGAAACAGGCCTTGGGGAACAGTCGGGGTCCTTACGCACTGGTGAGCTGGAGCCCACCTCTCACTTCGAGTAAAGTTTTGTGGCAGAGGGGGCTCCAAGGAGGAACGGGTGGCTCCCCTCAGCCGGGCCAAAGCCGCCCTCGGCCACCGAGACGCGCCCACGTCAGCCGCTCCACCTTCGCCCCGCGGCTCGGGGCCGGCTCGGGCGATTCGATTCGGGGCTGAGCGCAGGCTTCCGGGAGGAAGGCGGCTCGCGGAGCCCACCCTCGCGCGGGGGAGCGCGGCCCCGCGGCCCCACCGCGCCGGGCCCCGCCGTCCGCGCCCCCGCGCGGGGCTCTGCGGAGGCGTGGCCTGGCACAGGCTCGCGGCCGGGGAAGGGGGCGCGTACCTCTCCGCGGCAAAGGAACTACCGTGCCAGTCGGTGTGACAGAACGGAGTTCATTTCCGGGGACTGCCTAGCTACTCCTCCTCGGGGCGAGCACGAGCGGCTTCTTAAGGGAGAGCGCCGGCGTCGGCGCACGCGCAGTGCGGAGCTTCAGCGAGGGCGAGCCGCACGGAGAGAAACGCCGGCGCGCCACCGCAGCCCCCCC